ACCCAATCAGACCCAGAACAGAGAGCAGCTCTGTTCTTCTTCAAGGTCAGGGACTCCATATCTAGTGTCCATGCAGCTGACCAATAGACATGTGGTGAGCAGAGACCCCAGGCCAGAGACGTACAGAATACCAGCATCTGCCTCTACATCCCAGGTTCCAGCCTCCCTCTGACAACCAGGATTGCAGGGACATTGAGAGAAGTTGTGGTGTGAGGTGACACAGAGCCAGCTGGCATTGCACCTGGGAGGCAGGATGAACACTGCCGTCTCGGGGGCAGACCTGTGTCAGGGTAAGGCACAGGGATGAGGATAAGAAGATGAGCAAAATCAGGTGAGGAGAGAGGACAATACAGGAGAGGACAGGTCACAGGCAGAAAGACTTGGACTAGAAGGACACAGATTGTCCCAGCACACAGCCTTGAAGATGCAGGGGCTCTAATATTTTAACCCTCTCCCACTGCCAGCCTGGCTCTAGGACCTGAGAAACAACTCACTTTGTAAAGCAGGGGGCGGTAGAGAACACCCAGTGGGAATGAATGAGCACAGCTCCACAGGGATGAATGCTCTGGTACTGCAGGCTGGCCTGCCATGGCCACTGGCCTTCCACAGCCTCGTGGCCACCAGAGATCATCCATACCCCTCGGGCTTCCCGCACACTGTGATGACCATCCCGATGCCATGTGGTAAACAGGAGGTCCCCATTTCCTCTCCAGTAGACCCTTGACCACTTCTCAGTGGGAAAGCAGAAGCAGGGGTCAACCAGTCCCAGAGTGAGAGGGCAGCTTGGTGTCTGATATCCCTGTCTGCTGCCTGGGCAACAGGAACGTGGACAGCAAAGCACACAGTGAGCAAGCTCCGTGGGAAGCCGCGGAAGGGATATGGTGGCCACAGCTGGTCACAGCTGCATCCCGGAAAAACCCATGCCCTCAGCAACCCTCACCCCCACCCCCGGCCCAGACACTAGCTTTGTGTGCGGGGCTGTATTAGTGTCCTGCCTCCACCTCCCCACTGTCTCCGGGAGGGGCAGTGGGCCATGTGACCTGGACAGGGTGTTCCGGGTGCACCAACTGTAAGGACGCCGTGGCCGGCTGCCCGCTCGAAGACTGGGGAACACAGAGAGGAGAAAAGAGGAGACTGATGGGCCAGTCCAGCCCGGCTGTTCCCCGCCCACAGCCCATCTGCTCACCTGAGCCCCGGGTGCCCCAAGCACCTGCTGAGCCAAGGGCTGCGGGGCTGGTTCTTCCTGCCAGGGGTTTCCAGTCTCCATGCCCATGGCCAGAGTGGCTTCAGCCCTGGCTGCACCCCTCTGACCCCTAAAATATGACCTCTCTAATCCCATCCTTCCCACTGGACTCAGCTCTCTCCTGAGCCCTCCTTGACTTTGGACCTGCCCCTGTGCTATCCCTGTCCTGAGCCCTCTGGCCCAGAGTTGTGGACTATCTCCTCATGTAAGTCCCTAGCCCCTGCACAGCTTGAACCTGCCTACACAGGTTTGCAGAAACTCTTCTCACCTAGCTCTGGTGCGGGTTTTGTTTTCCCTTCCATGATCCAGTGCCTGAGCCCTTACCTAGACCACAACTGGATGTGCAGTTTGGACCCTCACCAGAGCTGCTCCAACTGTGGGGTTTGGAACATGGCCCTTTGGCCAGTGCAGAGACTGCTGCCGTTTCCGGAGCCTATCCCAGGTGGCCCCTTTTGGAGACAACACATACAGAGAGAACAGGACCTGGGCAAAGAGGGCACCAAAGCCTGTCGAAGCACCAACAATGCAAGGAACACCTGCAAGTGTTTTCCAGGCTCGGTCACAGGTGTGCCTGTATGTGCTCTGGGATGGCTTTAGTCTGACACAACCCAATCCCAAGAACTTGACACAAACAGCGAGACTCTTCTGGGGCTCCAGGATCCTCAAGGCCTGATAATGAGACCTTTGTTTTCCACCTATCCCATGAAAATGCACCCCTCAATCTTTATCCTGGTCACATAAAACATGGTCCCCTCTCCAGGGATTTTGTGATGTGCATTTTCTTGGGAGCAGACTGTGTTAATACCTCCCAAACCCCAGATAGACCCTTTTCCACCCTCACTCCCGTCCCACTTCAGAGGAATGAAGAGCTGGTCTCAGCAAGCTGCCATCCCTGCTCTAACAGGTAAAAGCCAGGTCCCCAGGGCTTTCCAGATGCTTGATCCAACTTTTCAGGTCCTTTATCAGCACCACCACCCCCAGAGTCTCCTCCATCCAACCCAGCTCCACAGCTCGGCTGCCCCTCTAGGGTCTGCTCCATGGAGGAGGAAGAGCCCAGGGACCCCTCAGCTCCCTGACTGTGACTGCTGGGCTTCCTCAGTGCTCCCCAGTGGAGAGCAGAGCTTTCTCCAGACAGGTCAGTGTTGTTTAAACTCCCAGCGCTTGCTGGGGTGGGGCCAGGTGTCAAGGAGCTCGCCAATAGGAACAACCTGGAGTTTATGGTCTAGTCTATGGGAATGAGCACAGGCCCCGCTGCTGTATCTGGGTCCCCTACAGGGCAGCTGATCTGCTCTGAAGTCTGGATGCTGGACTTTGTGTGCCCATAAGGGAGCATGCAGGAACAGTAGAAAGGTCTGACCACCTTGTTTCAGCAGTGCCACAGAGTCTGGACATACTTCATTTCTACCACACTGATCACAGTTTTAGAGAGAGTAGAACAAAACTGGTGTGGTGCCCAGGAACTGTTCTTGCTTCTAGGGACCAAATGCATGATCAGGCATGTTGAGCCACTTCACACCAGACGCTTCCGGTGCTGTGGAGGAGCCTCAAGTTTCCCCTAAAACATTCCCAACAAGAAATGAATCTCGGAACCAGGAAGCTTGCTGAAGCGATTTCTCCTGATCTTGCACCAGGCCGATTTCACCGGGTTTCCTCAGACAGGGGCAGTTGTTGTACTTCCACCTGCCCCTTACGAATCCAGAGCCCAATGGAAAACCCAGGTATGTGAGACCAGTGACTGCTGACTCTAGTCCTCAAGGGATCAGGGACAGCTGCTCCTTCCCATCTCCTAGCCTCTATATCACGCCCATGAACTGCCTTTCTCCTTGTGCCATTTAAGCTCAGTAATGGTCATGATCCAGAGACTCAAAAATGAATCTCAGAATCCAGCAGCAGCTGCAGAGATTTCTTCGGACACTAATTATTTAATATTTTAGAATTCCAGGGCGTGCAGCCACTTTTGTGGCCATGTGACTTCTCATGCTATTCATAATAAGCTATACAAAATAAAGTATCAGTCTGTTAGGCAGGCTTGAGTGGTGGTGGTGGTAAGCTTAGAAATAATGGTGTTGGGATGATGTAATGGTGGTGGGATTGAAATATTGAATGTAATCCATTATTGTGAATAACTTTATGAAAATAAAATTTAAAAAATTATTTTGCATACAAAAAAAAAGAAACCCATTCCTGACAGGAACTACCTGTGATTTTGAACTCTCTCCAAATAGGCAGAAAGTAACAGAGCACCAAAGGCAATATAGATCCTGAACTATCAGTGATAAAGAAAACTGCAGGTTCAGGACACCATGCTCAGTTCCAGAAGTCGAGACGGGACAGACAAGGAAAGATTAAGGACCTTGCCCTGGGTAGCTGCCCACTGCCTTGCAGGAAACCCTCACATTTTTTCCCCTGGGCCCTGCATGGACCCCAGAGACGCATCTGCCACACCTGTGTTTGGGTGAGACCTTCCTCCTCCTCCAACTCCTCAACCAGGGCCAGGAGATCCAGCTGGAATTCTGGGGAGAGCAGGTGCTCCAGGAAGCTGGGATGAATGACCGCCTCGACCTGGAAGGGGGAAGAGGAAGTGAGGGTCCTCATAAGGACCAATGGGAATGAGGAAGCAAACACACCCGTTCCCAGCACAGTGCAGGGGCTTGGACGGCTGCACAAATTCTCACACAGACACAAGCCGGGAGCGCTCACACTCTCACACACACAGGCCCATACAATCCGCACTCACAAAGGCACATGGACTATTCACCTACTCTCACAGAGAAGCACATGTAAATACACATGGATGCATATACACACATGACACAAAGACACACACTCTTCGACCTCTAGGAACATGTACATGTATCCTCTTACGTTTCTGCACAGAGCTCACACAGTACACACAAATGGAGACACACAGAGATGTTCACACATTGGCCAAACCCAGAAATTCACAAACAAGGGCCAATGTTTGTACAGAGAGACACACGTGAACATATGCACACAAACACAAGTAGAAAAATGCAAGCACAGGTGGTCTCAAAGCAAAGAGCACACGTCACTACCAAGCCCTGGACAGAAGCAGTCCTGCGCCCTCCCCACCCCACAGCAGAGCCCAGTCCCCCACCTTGGTGACAAAGGCCTCCTGGGAGCACAGCTCGTCCACGTAGCTCAGGAGTCACGGCTTAGGGCAGGTTCTGGCCTCCTCCTGCTGCTCCTTCGTGCCCACTGCCCGTCGCCCGAGGGGTGCCCTCCTGACTGTGTCGGGGGCCTTCAGCAGCTCGTCCATGATGTCCATGTACTCCTGCACGGCCTCAGGGGGGATCTCCTTGGGGGCCTTTGTCTTGGGGGCCCGCTGTGGTTTGTGTGTCTTGGGTTGGGCTGCCGGAGCTCGGGTTACGGCCTTCTTAGGGACACAGGCTGAGGAGGAAGGAAGAAGAGAGGGATGTGAGGGAACCCAGGTCCATGCCCTCAGGCACATAGCACTGAGCACAGAGTTGCGGATGGGTACCTGTGGGCTGGGTCAGGTGAGTGCCTACATCTGTTGTACTATAATCCCGTGACTGCGTGAGGGATGAGGATAACCTCAATGGGAGGAGAGGCCCACAGTGTCCCCAGGGTCTCCAACCCCACTTCAAAAGTGAGTCCGACACCCTCAGGCAGCATGGGGTGTGCAGGAAGAGGGAGAAAGCCAGGGACAGGGAGCCGCTGAGCATAGGCCTAGGGGTACATGGGAGAGCGAAGGATCCCTGGAAGGGCAGGAACCCTAGGGCCTTCCCAGGCCTGTGACCATTAGCTGGGGAACAGGGTCTGTATCTGGCTGCTGGCCTAGTGGTTGACCTGTAGCACCCTGAGGCTCAGGCCTGGGTGGGGCAGGGGGTGGCTTGCCCTGCACTCCATTCTTCGACTGCAGCTTCTGTGCCTCCGTTTCTTCCTCAGCCTCAAACTCCATGAACCTGGTGTGGGGAGTACAGGCCCCACTGAGTCGGGTTGGCTTGGAGCACGTGGGATGAGGCAGGACAGGGGATGCTCATGGAAAAGCCCTCAGGAGGATGGAGAATGGATGGGCACAAACCCCAGCACCTCCAGTGATTCCCCATATCAGCCCTTTGAGGGTCATAGAAAATAAGGGACTGTGACCCTTAGACTGTGGTCAGGAGCCCCAGAGCATGGTGGGCAGAATTGTCCCAGCCCCGGGTAGGACAAGTTTCTGCAGGGGACGGGCCTTCTGGGGATACCAGGGCCCCCCTGGCCATCTGGGAGTAGCCCCTGAAGCCCCGGCCCGCAGCCAGCCCCAACTCCCACTCACTGCCCAGAACTGACTCACTTGGCAGCCACGTCGTAGTAGATTATGCGGTCAAAGTTGCTCGTGCCATGCCATTCCCGCAAGGCACGGCGCAGGCCTTCCTCCAGGCCCATGGTGGGCTTCAGGCAGGCCAAGGTGCGCAGCACTGGGCTGCAAGGACAGGCTTGGTCAGGGTCTGCGTCTGGTGGGAGCCCCCGCTGCCCCACACCCATTCCTTGACCCCCGATGACGGCCTGGTCTCCCCTCCCCTCCCAGAGTTGACTCGCCTCCTACACCCCAGACCGGTGGCTATTCTAGTGTCAAGCCTCAGCTCTGGGGATAAGTCATGAGACGCCAAGGCCGAGCAGTCATGCCTGTCTGAACCTTGGTGCATCTGTGCTGTGTCTGGTCTTAGGAACAGAATGTCTGTCCTTCATTCCATAGGTCAGGACCAACCCTGATAGGGGACTGAGCTGAGGCTTTAAGGCATGGCTGGTCACTACAGGCTTTTGAGCCAGTACTCTGGGATGGCATTCCTGAGGACATTCTCTCCCATGGACCCTACGCTGGGGGTCACACCAGTACCTTCTGGGAAGCTACCATTAGTTCTAGATCACCTGAGGGACTCACATAAGGAAGCAGGAAAGGGCCTCAGTGTCCAGAGTCTGAGGAATGTACTGCCGGGTCAGGGCCTTGAAGCTCTGCCAGCGCCGGAAGTTCTCATAGACGCTATTGGGACTGCTGGAGGTTTTTGGCAATGCCTGGTTTCGGGTGGTGGCCAGACCACTCTACCACAAACCCACTGGGAGAGTGGTCCACCGCTGCATGGGAGCATGATGGGAGCCACCTGGGCCACTGGCAGTGGAACCTGAGGAGGATGGTCTCTCGTTCCAGCCTGGGTGACAATAGTAGCTGGAGTTGGAATAACGGTCTCCAGCACAGACGATACCAAGTAGAGGGGTGCAGGATGACCGGCCATGGAAGATGGAGCCTCTGCGGCCCCACAGTTGAGTGGAGCCTGTGTCAGGATGACAGGCTGGTTCTGGGCTGACTCCACAAGCGCTGCCTCAGGGCTGACCTAGATGATGACCTTGCAAGGTCCAGGGACATGGGGTCCATGGCCAGCAGCTCCTGCCACCACAGGCATCATGGGGAAAGGTGACAGCACCAGAGGGTTGCCAGGAGCAATGGCCGAGGTCACCAGAGGGGGCATCTGGATCGGTTCCCAGGGTGGTGGCTGGGGGAGCCCTGGATTGAGAAAGGGCGAGACCCTGAAAGCAGAGCCGAAGACCCCAAGATTCATGGTCATCTCTGGGAGCAGCACAGGAGACACTGCGGACAGGAGGGAGGAGGAGTGAGAGGGAGATGGTACAGGGGGAGGGCCAGGAGGGCCTGGCTGGGGCAACATTCCATGAAGGGATCTCATTGGAGGATCAGAACAAGAACTTTCCTTCAAACTTGTCAGTGGCAGCACAGCTCACATGGCCTCTTCCAGCAATTTAGACAGTTTCCCAATTCTCAGCACACAGGTTGGCATGGTCTTTGCTGTATCTCAATACTTTATCCACCAGTCTAGTTGTGTGCCCCTCAAATCTTTCTCCTTCCTCTCTCCCTGATGACCTCCTTCAACAGAGTCTACTCTTTCTTTGGAAAATTCAGTCATTAGTGACCTGTGAACCCCTGTAGGTCACAATTTGAACGGAGTTTTCCTCAGCAAATGCTGTGGGTTTTGCTTTTTTGTTTGTTTGTTTTGCTGATCCTTCTTAGGGTCCAGTACCTAGGACTGAAAGTAATGTAGATTTGTCTAACATGTTTGACTAGCTTTTTCAAAGTTTTGTTCTACTGGAAGCTCTTATCCTTCGTAGAATAGCCACGAAACCTCAAGTTGGAACAGCTTCCAAACTCAAACTTACTTTCTTTGTATTTGCAATATATTTTATGGATGATTTGCCTCCTAAATAAAACGTTGAATCGAGGAATATTTTTAATGGTTCAAAGCTAAGCTTTGACAAAAGTCAATGATGTGTGTTTAATGCAGTGCTGGGTGTTCCCTTCTACTTTCTCTGGTCAGTACAATTCTCTCCCACACCAAAGTAGTTTTCTGTTGTTAACATAATTCTAGGTATGTACTATGTACTGAAACCCCAAAGAATCTCATTTTTTATGAACTCACTATTGGTTTCCACTCTGGTTAAAAGCACATGTATGTTCTACCAGCTGGCATGTGTAGTGATTTTTTTTATATTCGTCAAACGGCTTCTCTCTTTTTCAGGAGACTCCATCCCCACAGCATGAAATTCTGCAGACCCTAACTAAATCCTTACAGTGTCTGGCAATTCAGTGGCGAATGGAATAGGGAGGTCTGAATTAGGAAGTGGAGCAGAATGGAAGTGCAACTGACTTCAATGTTCAGATCAGCAACAAAGTTACCTTCTGCATATTTTCATCCGTGGCTGGGAAAACCTGATTCAAATTTCCTCTACACTCTTTTCTTCAGTGTTTATAAGAAAATAATTTTTCAGTCTAGTTTTGGAACGATTTATAAGATCTCCCCAAAATCTCAGTCTGAAAGGATTTGGGAATATGCATTTATATACAACATTCATTGCACTGTTTGGCCTCTATGGAGGGAATGACCTGCTCAGCCAGTAGCCGTCAGATCATTCCATCCTAAGCAGCGTGGCAAGCTGCCTTTGCAGACACCAATCTCCGGACGCTTCCCAGCAGCTGCTCTGTCACTGTACATTGGTTCAACAGCGGTATCCAGGTCATAAGAATTCTATCAAAATCAAGAACATCCTTCCCCAAACAATGTTGGACACAGGGAACGAGGACTCGAGAAATTTCTTGAAACTTCCAATTCTGTCATGAAGAAACTATACTTGATTTTCAGCCAGGGATTTCTCATGAGATGGATTTTGAGCTTGAACTTTGTCCTCAGGCTTCAGGCAAGACTTTATGTTTGCTTCCTTGCTGTGTCCTGAAAAGCCACCTATAATTCTGGAGGCTCTTGTGCGTGCGTGACTGGCGGAAGTTTGCACCCACCACGGCCCGTAGGTGCGCGCGCACTGGGGCTGTCCTGGGTCAGTTCTAAGCAGTTAGAGGTAACGGACACGCACGCGCACCTGCATTTCGCGCGGGGTCTGCAACCACCAACGTCCTACAGGCTATGGGTGTAATGATTCCCCTTTGGGATATTTGCACCCATGCCTCTATCAGATTCAACAGAGAGGTGTGTGGCCCTGTCCAGCTGTCTGCAGGGGCGCATCTCCCCCAGGCTGTGGGCACCACCGCACACCTGCGCCATGTCCTTTCCGGATCCGGATGCTGAGCGCGAGGGAGGTAAAGGAATCCTGGGACCATTCAAACTGCTACTTGGGGTCCGAGCGATAGTGCAGTGGGCAGGGCCATTGCCTTGCATATGACCAACATGGCTTCCATCCCCGTAATCCCAGATGGTACCCTGAGAACTGCCAGAGTAATTCCTGAGTGCAGAGCAATTACTGAGCACAGTCAGTGTAGCTTAAAACCAAAACAAAAGAATCCCAAAACACAACAGCAATAAAACAGCAGAAGCAAACTAACCCTACTACTTTGTGGACCTTTTTTGTATGATACAAAAGCAAACGAAGTTTTTTCTTATTGAAAACATTAGCCCTTGAACTTGAAGAAAGTCAGGTCCGTCGTAAATGGGGAAAATCTCTAACACAAATAGAAAATGAATACATAGAAAAGCTTTTCCTTTGTTTCCCAAAACGTTTTAGGAACCAGCAATTAGTTTCCGTCACTATACCCTCGTTAATAAATGAAACAGTTTTCATGACTTAAAATAATGGATCAATCATAATATGACGTCCAATTGTTGTGCAATTGATAGCCAGGTTAGCAGGAGATGCAAGAACAAAGCAAATATCAACAAAGATAGGTAAAGGCTCAGTTTAGCTTGCAAAATTGACAGTGAAACATTATTTTTGTACATTTTAATGCCTTAAAATATTTAAAATGTGTGTTCATTATCTGTAGTACTTTTGGACACAGACACTTCATTTACAGAGAACAGGTAGAAGTGTTCCAGCCATTGTCAGCTCACAAGTACATGGGTGTAATGCTGCCATCCCAGATCTGTTTGAGTTGAAGCATCGTGATAACCAGTTCCAAGAAACCAGTAGGATGGCCAAGTGGCAGAAACACGCATTTCAGGTTGTTTACTTCAGTAAGCAGCCAGTGAAATTTTGGGCCCAGCAGAGCAAGCTGAACATGGTGACCCATTAAATATGAGGGACCTGTGGTAGTGGTGGTTCTGGTATTATGGCAACACTAATTCAGTTTCCTTCATCCCACAAAGAATTTGTTAGGATGATAAATATCTGCTGGAGAAAGGGCAAATGCAATTGGAAAGAATCTTGAGAAATCCCAGAGGAAAGGAAGACGGTGTACTGGGCAGACAAGGCAGCAGCTCACTGAGCGTTTCCACTCTGTCCTGGGAGTAGCCAGTCATGGAAGCTCTTATGAATTCTTTCCCAAGGACACAGAATGAAGGGTGTCCTTCATTTTCCCCATGAGCAACTTCGGGAGTTTAAGTTGCTTTGTGTACCTGAGGAGTGAAGGTCAAGTGTTGGTGTGTTTGCAAAGATAGGCACATATGTAGTGGTCATGGCATGTGGTTTTCAGCATGTTATACGTGCATCACACAACTAAGGTCATATATGTTGTCATCAGTAACTCTCGACGTGGGTGCCTTTCCCCACCATTGTCCTCAGATCACCTTCAGTCTGCTTCTTCCTTGACTGAGGATTTCTTAGTGTAATCAAAAGTCAAGACTTTCTCTTCATTTAGGATTTTTAAATTACCTTCTTTTGTTTAAATAGCACGCTGAGATCATACAGTATTTGTCCTTGCTCTGAATTATTTTGCTCGTCAGGATGCCCTCCATCCATCCAAATTGCAGGAGTCTGCAAGATTTTACCTTTTCTTGTAGCTGAGTAGGGTTCTGTTGTTTGTGTTTATACTACAACTTTATCCGTTTATGTGTCCATTTGGGGTTTTTCTGAGTATTGTACTTAGCACTGCAGTGAATACAGGAGTGCATATATCATTTTGAGTTTTCTATTAAGGGGTTTTGGTGGGAACATGCAAATGTGAAATCACTAGGTCTTTTGGAACCTATATTCTTGCTCCACTACCCAACTCCAGGCCGCTTTCCACACACTTGGGCCGAGCCTCACATCTGAGTGAACATATTCCTGGCCACATCCCTACCCATTTTCTATAATTACAGCACCAATATGATGGGTTTCAGACAGTAGGTAACAAATCATAGAGGAAATATATATATATATTTATATATATAAATATATTTATATATAGTTTCAGACAATAGGTAACAAATCATAGAGGGAATTTATATATATATATATATATATATATATATCTCAGACAGTCCAGCAATCTACCGAGAGTATTCTCCCCATACTGGACAGCCGGGCAAACTACTCATGGTGTATTCGATATGCCAAAATTATTAAAATAATGAGTCTTATTTCCCTGACCCTGAAAGAACCTCCAATCATTGGGAAAGACAAGTAAGGAAAGGCTGCTAAAATCTCAGGGCTTGGATGAATGGAGACATTGCTGGCACCTGACTTCATTGAGCTCATCAAGTAAATTGTTGAACAACAGGATGACAGTGATAGAGTGATTCTTGCTTTTAGAGAAGTTTCCAAACTTTTCCACAGAGGTTCAGCCAAATGTTGTTCCCACAGACTGTGAATGAAATAGCACCCCTTTT